CCTGTTGTTGTCCACGTGTCCTCTTGGTTACTATTATTCCGCTGCGCTGTTCCCCAGCCCATGATGATGATGATGCAAATGTGTTGTTGTTGTTTTTTTCTCGTTGGTTTACTTGTTGCATTGTGCACATTGACATCTGGTGAATGTTGCATCTATGCTGCTGGTTGTTGCCACTTTCATCATTGCTAGATCCTAGGCTGTTAGTGCATTTCACTTTCTGATATGCTACACCCCTACTTGAGGGCTCAATCCTCACAAAGTCCAAAAAATCCGAAAAAAAAAACTAAGCTATGCAGAAAAATAAACTGAACAACTTTTGCCCTAGGGTCACATCGAAATTCTTTACCAAATTTAAAAAAAATAAAAAAATTAAAACACGTATATACATATACATATATCGATAAAAAAATTAAAACACGTATATACATATACATATATAATATATATATATCGTCACAAACAGAACTGCCCGGTAAACCGTAGGCAGAGAGAGAGATGAGGACAACAACCGAGGGGCTGTGACAAACTGTTTCGTCGGAGTTTCACCGACTCATCAGGAGGCTGAACCCTCAACAGTCTGCAGAATCCCCTCACTGATTACACTGTAAGTGATAATCTACCTTAACCAAAATCAAAGTATATATATTTTTCTCGCCCCTGCCGGACAAGTGGTCCCGGGCCACTCTGGCAGCCTAGGAGGCTAGGAGACAAGTTAACAATTTCAAACCCTCCCCACCCTCCCCCCCCTTGCCCCCCAAAAAAATACATATGTTAAACAAATAACCACCATGTGAAATAGTGAAGGTGGCCATAGCGGGGACACAACTTGCCATCGGATTCGATTAGGTAACATGTGGTAAATTAATCCACAGTGGTAGCCCCCAGGAGGCATTGCAAGTCGACCGAAGAACCAAATGGCTGCGTCCTGGTGGGAGATCTTCCAAGTATGAGTCCGATTTCTACAACGAACCGGGGTGTTAAAAAAAAAAAAAAAAAAAAAGAAGGAAGTAAATCAAACTGCACAACATAACCAGGGAGAGGTAATTCTTTTTTCTTTTCATACCATACATAGACAAAGTAATTGAACATTTTGAAAACAGAAGAAGAGAATGACGGGTGTTAAACAAGCAAGCATACGAAATAAATTTAAATAATCGAAAGTGATACAACATATTAATGAGGGGGAGGTATTTCTTTTTGTTTCCGAATACCACCGACGAGTAATCACCTGGATAGTTTGGAATTTCATGCAGCGACTTGACGTGAGAAGCAAACATGTGAACGTTCGTCCAGAGCATCGAATCTAGCCCCCAAAGTGACACATCTGGTAGACACGCCGGCACACCGAAGGTATCGGACGGTGCAGATCTCTCGTCGTCGGCATTTGTTGCTGCGAGGAGGACATGGTCGTGCCCTGATACCCCTTCCTCATCATCATCATCAGCAGCAGCAGCAACAGCAGCAGGAGCAGGAGCAGAAGCAGTCGTAGGTGAGACATCCATATTCCTGCCACATTGGCACACCATGAGCAATTGACTTATCCATCCAATGGCAAAAGCATCACCAATCAAAAATAGCAAAATTTGAAAGTCATTTAAAAATTAAAATTTTAAAATACAGTAAATTTTTGAATTCTCAAAGAAAAAAGAAAGAAAAACAAAAACAAAGAAAAACAAAAAGAAAGAACAACAAAGAAAAAGAGAAAAAGTGGATGTAGTTTGGAAGTGATGAGAACACTGGGGTGATGCAGTGTGACTGGGGGAGAATGTGCAAAGGAGAACAGTACATGCATGACACATGACCTGGTTGCTTGGATTTTGCATTGCAGCCACAGATAGGTGGTGGTTCCAACACACTGGGTGGGCCGTCTGCCCCCTCCAGCCGATGATGGCCTGGTTTGTAAGGGACGTCGGGCCCGATTCCCTGCTTTGAATTAAACAAGGTACTCAAATGAAGTTATTGTGTTTAAAAAAAGAGAAAAGAAAAAAGAAAAAGAAAGAAAGAAAGAAAGAAAGGAAAAGAAAAACAAATTAATAGTTATCATAACTTATTAATAATAAATAAGTAAAAGTACAATCAGACTCGACTTATTCACACTTGTCTTGCATGCAAACAGCGATACATCAAACTGGCGACATGCGCCCACACAGTACTCAAAGATATCGTAACCAGATAAGAGTTCTCTTCAAACTGGCTATGGCGGCTGTGCGCCCACACAACTCACTGTTCGCACTCTGGATCACCCTGGATGTCCCACACGCAACACTCTGTATTCACACGCGACACACACACACACTACTACAGCTATGGCAGCSCTAGCTGCCACTACCCTGGCGCTATACTACACTCCTCTGCCCACTTCGTCTTCGGGCACACTGCAGACCTCCTCGCACAAGCTGCT